AAATGAAATTCTTAGAAACGTCGATTTATTAAATTTCGTTGATTTATCTGCGACATTATCCATCCTTCAAAGTAAGTTCTTGTTTGCACAAACTTGTCGTATTGAGAGCACCGCTCTTGAATCTCGAAACTTTGCAAACTCCCCATCTCTTCCTCCGCCACCGTTAGTTGGCCTCCCACCCGTTCTCCTCGGGACTCACGCTGTAACCAAGGTTTCTTCTTCTTCGTCTAAACTTGTACGTTGGTACATACGATGTATCCATGCATGTAGATGGATGGATAGATTGACAGATAGACAGGTGCAGTTTATGCGACGTCTACACGCATATTTCCATCCATTCACAGATTGCTCTTTTCGTTTCGATTCTGATCGTTTTTATTCCGTACCACCACGCTTCGTCTCGTTCGTTGCTGTCCGGGGTTGTAGTTTCCGTGCAATTCAACGGCATAACCTATTTTACTTTCGAAAACTCAACGGATCAATACCAACGGGAATGCGACGAAGACGAGCGAACGGACGAAGAGGAGAATCGTGCAAGAGAAGGAAGAACGAATGCGAACGACATCGTTCTCGTCCGTGGAAATTTCTTCCACGTTACACGAATAATTTTCGATTGTCCGAGGCAGGAGGAACGGCTTTCGGAAGGAATGGTCGAAGATCCCATTATTGATCGATTATTTCACGTGAAAGCATATACGATCGAAAGTTAGCGTATAGTCGAATCGATCGAGCGGAATCGATAAAGATCGAGTAACAAGTGTCGCGAGGGGCAGCGACGACACAGGTAGCGCAAAACCAGCCAAGTTGCGCGGCTACCATACGTGATATACAAATACCGGGAACCGAATCTTCGAAAAGAGTTTCGGGTTGCGGCACGAGACCGTCAGCTGGCGAGCAGGACCGGTTCCTTTCTTTCTCTTTTTCTTTCTCTCGTTCATGCTCTATCTCTCTTCGCGTGTCCTTTCCACTCCCTTCCTCCCTCTGCATTGAATCGTTTGATCGTCACGTTGCTTCGTTCTTTCTCCTTTGACCGATCTTCGATATTCGAGATCCTTTCGTTTTCTTTCATTTTTCGTTTACTATTACTACCTCTTTTGACAATTCGGAATCACGTTTAGATAAATAAATAGAAATTTAAGATCGACAGTTTGAAACGAAAGTGAAAGAAGTTTGGATCGTTATTTTATAGGTTAGTTGTAAACGTGCGTAGAATTATATCGACGATTATTATCATGGGATTTACGATATTCGTAAAACACGTTTACGTTTCAATTTTAAGAATAAGAATGTAAACATGTGATCTTTGTGATTGATAGTTTGTTTTTACAAGACAAGAGAACAAATCCGAGGAGAGATTTTTAAAAAGCTTGCGGGAGGTGTAGCACTAATGTTTTTGCCGCAGATCGCTCGACCGAAAAAAAAAAAAGGCTTTGTAGAGCATCGATGCTGCTCGGTAACGATGCAAAATTTCTTTTACGCGATTAGACAACGCTCGATTTAACAGTACAGTTCGTTTCAACGAGCGCTTCGACGAACCGTGCCAAGCGTGCTTCGTATCGCGACAAGCTTATGCAAGTAAGTAAGTAAGTAAGTAAGTATACATGCACGTATACATGCTGGCCTGTTCTATCGCGCAATCAAAACGAGATATATGACGAGATTCTTGTTCGCATTACTTTCCAAAATATGTACGTATTTTCATACGCGTTTCGACATGCGCGGAATCCGTATCAACCCATCATGCCATCGATTCTCATACGGCATAATATACTTGTTTCTTTATCTTTTCTATTTTCTCTAATGTTTCTTTTCTTTATTCTCACACATACAGCCCGGAACTAGCCCGGAACTACATTCATATAAATCGATCTTTTAAAAATAGAAGATTCGACTTGAATTTTTCATCGATAACGTTATTTTATTTTATTTCGTTGGTTATCGAAAAGCTTCCTTTTTTTCATCCTCTTAGTTTTACATCGATCTAGGTTATGTAGGTTATTGGTTAGACAGATCATACGTACGGTTGAGTTTCTTGCGTGTATCGTTTAACATTGACGAGTTTGGTCGATCGCTTCTATCTCGGATCGAGAGGAATTTCATATACGCGAAAATATTGGAAATTTAATCTTGATTTATTTATCCTCTTTCCCCTCTCCCCTCGCCCTCCCTACATTTTCACGCCAATCATTTTTAGCCAATCATTATCCATTGTGTCCAGAATGAAAAGAAATTCGTTTTTTTAACTTTGAATTTTTTTCCAAAAAAAATATTCTCATATGAAAAAACTTGTACTTATACTTATATATAGATTTAAAATCAACTCGATTTTAATGTTTAATAAAACAATCATATTAAAACGATTATCTTTCTATTTCCTTGCTGGAATCAATCGAAAAAGATGGAACTAAACTGTTCGTTTGTACGAGACAAGTGGGTGTCGGAAATAAGACGCGAGAAAGAGATGGTCATAGAACGAGGAGGAGGAGGAGGAGGAGGAGGAGGAGGAGGAAGAAAGAAGATTACGGAGACTATGTAGACCAGGCGAGTAAACGGGGAATTCATATCATAGAGTAAGAAGGGATGAAAGATGCAGGTAAGGTACACTTATAGACGGAACGATGGTAGGTAGAAACACAGTAGATAGGTAGAATAGCGAATAGCGCGACAAACGAAGCCCGATCCATAAGAGGAAAGGGAAAGATTGAATAGTCGTATATACTCACCACCCTTTTCTCTAAATCACGTTTATCAGAGACGGATGGCGAGTACTACTAGCGCGATGCAGTAGTATCGAAGTAGAGGAAGGTGCGGCCGAAATGGAAAGAGGAAGAGGATCCGGCCAGGTGAAGGGAGATAGCCTCGTTGGAGGAAGAGAGGACAAAGAGGCGAAGGGCCAGGACGAACGAGGGGGAGGAAGGGAGGAGGGAGGAGGAAGGGAGGGAGAGAAAATTGAAGAGAACGAGAGAGGAGGTGGGGGAAGGGCGAGGGATCGGGAGGAGGGGGAGGGGAGGAGGGAGAGCAGTGGGCGAGCGAGTTGATAAGTTGTCGAGTAGCGGAGCGCGGAGGCGCGAGTCGCGAGGTGCGATGCGCGAGGCAAGAGGCAAGAGGCACGGAGAAGGACGAGTATGAGATGGTGGAAGAAGGGAAAGAAGGGTGAGGAAGCGGAGAAACACGCGGATATTGATTCCCGAGGGATATGCGCGCGCTCGACGAGACTCGGAAATCTAAACGTATGTACGATGCTTTGGCGGACATACAGAAAAGTATACGCGTCGCGCGGCATGCGCATCTATATCTCGATTCATCCGGTGGAGGAGCGGCGGAGGCAGGGCAGAGGAGGCCTGGGCGGCTCGAGCGTGGCGACGGGCGAGAGGGAGAAGGGGGGAGGGGGGAGGGACAGGGGGATCTAAAACAAATCGTTTTTCAAGAAAATGAAACGAGAAAATATGCATGGTATGTATTTACGTACGTATATACGTACGTACGTAGGAAACGAGTCGATAGGCTGAAACGGAAAACGTTGTATAGTTAAAAACTTTTGCGTTATATTATTATTATTGCGATGTATTCCATTTTTTTTTATCACGCCCCCTACTCTTCACGATCTTTTTTTTTTTTTTTCTACGAAAGATGATCGGTCAGAGGTGAATAAGGATATTACAATTAGGATGTATAAAGAGAAAGGAGAATAGATAGAGACAGGTTTCGATTATACATAAGGAAGAAGATAGTCGTGGCACGATGTTACTCGATGCTCATTATGCTCGAACAAAAGCGGCAAGGATAGCTGGAGGAGCAGAGATAAGGATGATAATCTTGATAGTCTATTGAAGGAAATTTCGATTATTGAAAAAAGAAAAAGAAGATATATTTGTTACAGCGTATGTGTACATATATATATATAAATTTCACGATCGGAAAATAAACGACGCGTTTCTCGATATCGTGGCGTTGGTCCCCGTATCGTTACGGGGGATACATGTAACAACATCCGTGAAAGAAGCATGGAGGTGGATAAATTCGCACCTATACCGACGTTACTGCTGCAAACTACGTACCACACGTACGTATACCAACTCGGTCATCACCATTCCGAAATCACTACCACTATCTGCCATCGCTTGCCATTACCTACCACTACCTTCCTCCACTACCTACCACCACCGACCGCTACTTACCACTACCGTTACCACAGCTGACGCCACCTCCGAGACCTACGGGCGACTTTCATGAATGAAACCCACGTGCGATCCACGTGACCGTTCCTGTCAAAATCGTAATTTCTAATTTTCGACTCCCTCCCTACTTTTTCCCTCAATTTCTCGTAATATCGATCGTGCGTCTCGATGATCGAATATCTATATATATATATATATAATCGTTTCCATTTTCTTTCNTATATATATAATTGTTTCCATTTTCTTCCTTTCGTCCGATTATTATATAAACGTATACGAAAATTGTTTAAAAAACAATTTATTATGATTTAAAATGAATCGAATGATTCATTTATATTTTTTCGAACAAGAAGAAAAATCTTGAAAATCCTCCTTTCCATTCCATATACGAGTATATTCATGTAATCTTGGATACATGAGAATATAAAGCAAGGAAGAATTTTCGAAAGATTTCTCGTAGAAAATTATCCGATAAATGGATAAACAAACGGAGAGAATGATAGAGAGAGAGAAAGAGAGAGAGGAGGATCATCATTACTACCAGTGTCACCATTGCCTATCGTTTCATCTCCATCCCCCTACCACGGCGATATTATATCTATCGCTACCACCACTATTGACAGTATGCTGAACATTGGCAACGATGGTGGTGGTGGAGGTGGCGGTGGAGGTGGCGACGGCGGCGGCGATAGCGACGGTGGCGGTGGTGACGGCGGCGGTGGCACCACCGCCAACATTACGATCGTTCTGCTTGCTTTCGCTCTCAGCGTCGACGTTGCTGTTCCCCAGTACCGGTGCGCAGTCGGTGGTCGCGGTCGGTGTCAGATGGTTAAAAGGAAACAGATTCGAGAGCGGAGCGACACCCATAAAGGATAAACACGTTAGTTGATCCACGTGCTCCGGCCTCGTAGCCGGCAGCCGGTTCCAAATCTCGAGATTTCGATTTGCGACAGCCTCGATTCGATCCTGTGATTCGATGCGAACCGGTGAAATGGTGCGATATAAAACGCAAGGAAACGTCGAAAAACCCGCGTAAATTTAATCGAACGAGGATAAATTAATATGTAATTCCTTCGCGCGTGTGTATCATCGACGTGTGTAAGCATCTGTAACCATCCGTATGTACGATAACATTGAAAACATTGTGGAAGAACAAAGGACGAAAAAGGACTAATGGTTGATGGTCAAGAAATTGAAAAAAAAAAAAAAGGAAAAAAGATCGAATTCGAAGAATTAGTTGTGTTTCACGTATCACGGAGAAGGATATTGCAGTGATTTTTATCCTTATCCAAAATCGAGAAAGTTGTTCTTTTCTTTAATTAAAAATCGGAATTGGAATCGAACGCGCTCTACGTTTACGCGTTCCTACTTTCTACGTACTATATATATATATATATATATGTGTGTAGAGTCGTGGGTTTGATCGATCGTATTATCGATTCGATTTACGATCGTAATAACCGTAATATAAAATATCCGACTATAAAATCTCGTGGACGAGAAGAAAGAGAAAGATCGTCTGGTCGATATAGGAAGAAAGGAGGAGAAGCGTAACGAGGAGGAGAAGAAAAAGGAGAAGAAGAAGAAGAAGAAGAAAAAGAAGAAAGGAGAAGAAGCGCAAGGTGGCTGGGGGCGAGGAGGTGACCACCACGGCAGAAGCCGCGGGACGATGAGCGACGGCATAGTCGGTGCAATTGCGATCAGTTTGTTTGGTATCGGTCCTATGCGAATATTTTATTTCGTACATTCGTTCGGAGGAAAGATTTTTCACTCATCGAAGCCTCGTTCCAGGCAGCGAGAAGAAACGTCGAGACAGCATGGATGCTGGTTACACGATACTCGGCAACGATATCGATGTTTGCAGAATGTTCGACCAATTTTCTTACAAGGTTAGTTTTTCTTTTTCTCTCTGAACGGGACGCACACATTTTTCTGTCACACGAGAGAATTTATTCCGCACGAGCAGTGTGTTAAGAAGCATGCACTCTGTCATTTCGTCTCCTTGTTTTTTCGCTTTCGTCTCTTTATCTTTGTCTCGATCGCTCTTGCACTCGATATCGATTTCCATATTTCGTTCGAACATATTTTTCTTTTCGTCTCGTTTAATTTCTCCCCCTCCCCTCTTCAATTAATCACACATTTAATTTCCCGCAATTCTCGTGAATATCTTTGACTTGTTACTCTTATACAGAAATATTTTAGAGGAAGGAATCAAATTGTTGTCGATGGAGCAAAGTTAAAAAGTTGAAAAGTATCGCTTCTCTCGTCACTCGTCAATCGATTAACACGTTTTCGCTACTCGAAATTTTCTTCGAAAATCGAATCGATCGAATCTTCTTATCCTTTAGGATAAAAGCACGGATCGGAGAGGAACATCAGGATATAGATTCGCAGCTTGGATATCGTGCTACCTTTATTTCCGTATTCCGGGTATATATATATACCTTCTTTGACCGTTTCAGCTTTTCATTTGGTCCTCTTGGTGGTTGAAACAAAATGAAAGGCAAACCTATACTACTGGAGGGAGCTGGTATCCATAAAAGAATGAATAAACGTAGATTGGAACGGCATAAAAAAGCGTGTAGGTCTGTGTACCCTTGAGCCAGAGAGAGAGAGAGAGAGAGAGAGAGAGAGAGAGAGAGAGAGAGAGAGAGTACGTGGTGGTGGTGGTGCATTTCCACCACATTTATGTACACGTATCGGGGAGGGGGGAAGAGAGAGGTTGTAGCAAAAATTGAAATCCCGCTGACCGCGAGCGCGCAAAGTAAATTCGTTCTAACGAACGTTGCTAATCGAATTTCCATACTTATCGCAACACAACGTTTGATCAAGGGTTTCTTGCTCGATGGAAACGAAACAGGATTCCTCTTTTCTTCCTTCCTATTCCTTCCTTCTTCTCTCGAAATCTAATCGATCTCGTTTCGAAATCGATTTGCATATTTTTAGCGAGCGATAAAAGAGAGATCTCTGATCTTTTCGAATTTTCGCGCGGAAAATGTATGCGCAATGATAAGCTAAATCCGAATCTAAATCGAACACAGTGGAAAAGTAATCGCACACTATTTACCAAACTTGCTTTCTCTTTCATACTCGTAGACGAGAATTCACTTCGTGGAGAAAGTGTGCCATACACGCACGCGATAACGTCCACGGTACACTAACCATACCGCTATAACGCTATATAACATGTTACGTCGATCTAGGGACAAGAGCGGGATACGCCTAAAATACGAGATATTACGATTTTCCTTGTAGAGAAAATTCGATCACGGATAAAAAACGTGTATAAAAAAGCAAGTTGAAGATTTGCGTGCGCGCAAAATGAGGAATGGAAAGGAAGAAAATTTCGATCGATCGAAATTAACGGTTAAATACTCGGCTGGCGGACTCGGCCTGTCCGTGTATATACAATGGAAGACGAAGATAGCCGGGTCGGAGAATGCCGCGAGTGTTTTAGCGGTAGACCGCATCGGGTAACCGGACGCAGACAGTCGGACAACAGGCTGGCCAACGGGCCACTACGGTCGCAGAGCCACTGACAAAATCATGAGCCACTTGTTGATCGGCCAATGACCATTCGAACACCTCGTTCGACCAAACGTTTCCCGTTACGATATTCCGATTACCGATCCCTGTCTAACTACCGTGCACATTTAACTGTTCCGATCCTTTGAATCTTAATTATTTTCTTCGTATCTTTTATTATCTTCTCCGTATTTACGTGCACTTATATATATATATATACGGGAAGAAAAACGAAAAGAAGAAACGTTTGCAAATTTTGACGAGTAGAGATGAAATACGTATACATGCATAAGCATGTATTCGAAATCGAAATGATACGACAAGGATGAGAAAAATATTGTTATTGCTATTTTTCATCGAATGGCGCGATTTTTTTCCCATTCTCGCGATATCCTTCGCCGTCTCTTTAGGCCTTCGACCCTGTCTTACCTTATCGCATACCACCCTGGTACACCCTCTCCCTCCTCACCCTACTCTTTTTCCCGTTCCCGAGCTCGCGAGCCAGCGAACCCGCGAGTCTTCCTCCTCCCCCACCTTCGCCTAGCCTATTCCGCGTTACCCATCTCCTCTACCCATATCCCTCTCCCTCTCTAGGTCTCAGCCTAGCCACCCACAAACCTCTACCCCCAGACTGCCGCCGCTCGCGACTCCCTCGCCCACCGCCCCGTGTTCTCCCCTCCCCCTCCTCCCCCGCTCCCCTCCCCCTTCCCCCCAACCCTCTTCCCCGCGCGCTTTCCTCCTGTTTCTCTTTCGCCTCTTTCTCTCTCTCGTTAAATCAATAAGCCATTCGGCCTGCTCGCTACACTGGCAACGGGGCACTTTGCCCGATTTTCTTTCCGATCGGATTCCTTTTTCTTTTCTTTTTTTTTTTTTTTTCCTTTTCTTTTCTCCCCCCGCGAATGTAATCACTCCGCGAAAAGGGGGAGCGACAAAGAGACGAAGGCTTTCATCGCGGACGATATTGATAATTATTCGGTTTCTAACATCGAATCGATGTATTTTCACGATATACGTTTTATATCTTTTGAGGGAATAATATCCTCGTGAGGAGGATAGGAAGGGAGGAAATTGTTCGAGGGGATGAAAAGAAGAAAAAAAAAAACAGAGCAACGTGGAATCAGACGAGGAGAGATAGAGAGAGAGAGAGAGAGAGAGAGGGAAGGGAAAAGAAAGAGGAGAGAGAAAAGAGAGAAAGAGTAACTAAGCGTAGGTAGCGAGTTGGTAAAGCAAGCGAATAAAGCGTAACGGAGAAGCGAGTTCGTTCGTATTTGAAAGTTTCGGTGCAAACTCGGGAGCGAGGCAGTCGAATACAATGGCCAGGCAGAAGTTTCCTCGAAACTAAACAAGTTTATTTAACTTACCTCGGCACACCGGTTCCCATCCCTCCCCCTCCTCCCCCTCCCCCCCTCCATTCCTCCCCCGACTCTCCTTCCTGCAGCAGCCTCATCTCTGCGTAGAATCTGCCCTGCGAACTTCTTCCTTTCCACTTCTCATCAAATACGATTCTTCTTCTTCTTCTTCGCCTACTCGACCATCTTTCCTCGCTCTCTCTCTCTCTCTCTCTCTCTCTCTCTCTCTCTCTCTCTCTCTCTTCTCATTTGATTTTATCTCGTTTCATCTCATCTCAACTCGTCGTCTCATCTTACCCCAATTCTCCTCCTCTACCCGTTCCTCCTTCGTCTTATCCCACTTGCATGAACCACTCACTACTCGCCCCTGTACTTGCAATAACGTCAAGTTTTCCAAAAGTTTCCGACAGATTAACGACTATTGGAATTGTTCGAGTTTATGGAAGAACGTGGTATGTTGTAATAGCCAAAAAGGATTACGAAACCTCTTGCTCTTGTAGAGAAATTGACGTATTTTATTCTAATAATAATATTCGTACCGTCGGCGAGAAAGATGTTGCTTGGCTGAAAAGAGACCGGGAATGAAAAGGTAAAAGAGATAGAGATAGAGAGAGGGGGAGGAAAAAAAGGAGATTCCATTTGGAGGAGGAAAATGAAAGAGGACGAAAAGTCGCGGGAGTGTAGTAGTAGTAGTAGTTTCTACGTCCATCCGCGAATGCATGCTGCGAAATGGGATACGTACGTATGCTGTATATCTTCTTTATGGCAACCATTAACATATTTTTTGCCGCGTGTATTACCATACAATAGTGGCGCAAATATTACAACTTATGGCCGTAAATCAGAGGACGGGAAAGGGTGGCCTGGAAGACGAAACGTTGGGGAAAGGAAGAGAAAGAGAACGGAAATGGGAATGGGGAATAGAAACGGGAACGATAACGAAAATGCGAGAGTAAGAGATCGAAAACAGCGGTGGAAGAGAGAGAGAGAGAGAGAAGAAAGAGGGAGAGAAAGAGAGAGAGAGAGACGTTGATATTACGTGAGGAAGCAGGAAAGTTGCTCCGTGTAAAATCCACGATTCGAACGTAAAAGACGAGTCGATTCTTTCGTTTTCATCGTAAACGAGATACCGAGTGTGCGACCGACCGTGATGGATACAACACAAGGTCGTTGACGCGGGCCACATGTCCGATAAAACGAGGATACGAAGTAAGTATGGTTACCGAAAGAAGCGAAGGAGTAGTATTATAATAATACACTGACAATCGTTTTATTACGAAGATCGAATATACCGATCCGAATTTTCAACGACGAAAAAGAAAAAGAAAAACGTATGGATGTATGTATTTATTTTCGTTATTTTCGTTTTTTTTTTTTCTCCTCTTTATCCTTCACCCGAATAAGGAAAAAAAACAAACGACGACGTTGGACGACGTTAATATCTTCTCCTGTGCAGCAAAGTTATATAAGCTACGCGTAGTATTCCCCGCGTTGGTGTTCTCGAACGCATTAAAACGGAAACGCTGGAGAAATTTCAGATAATGTTCAATAGTAAATTAAGATATAATAACTTTCGTGAAAGTTGTACGCCGGCAAGGAGATGGAAGAGAAGAGGAAAAAGGCGGCGGAGAGACATAGAGGGAGGGAGAGAGGGAGGAAGGTAGGTAGGTAGGTAGGTAGGTAGGGAGAACTCCATTAACTTTTATTTCTCCGGGAAAGTAACTTTGCCCCTTCCTCTACCTCCCCTCCGTTCCCGCGTAAGACAACTACCCATCGCCTCTCCTCCTCTCCGCTCTTCCCTTCCCTTCGCCGCTGCACCTCCTTCCTTCGCGTCCCGTCGTCGTCGCCGTTTCGCGTTCGCCACTACCTCCTCTCCTCCACCTTCTTCGCCACCTCCACCACCTTCTACCGCCCTCGCTACCTCCACTACCGCTACCATCACCACCACCACTACCACCGTCCATTTCAACCGCTCCTCCCGCCTCCTCTCGAACCTCCGCCTTCCTCTCTTTCGG